AACTTTGGATACAATTTATAAAAAGATACCCTAAGGAACATTCCATTAAAGTTTGCAAGTATTTGGCTAAGTAGTTTCAGAGGAGAAGATTTTTGAAAAAGTAATAGACTCACAAAAAAATGTAAAAAAATTGTGTCTTAAGGGCAATAACTCCTTAAGGGGTCAATTGATAATTTGATCATGCTAAGTTATTTGTAGATCTTACTTAGCTGAACATTTTTCTCATTTACACTTTTTTTATATCTACTATAATTTTAAAGATAATAACCAAAAACTGTAAAATTTCCATAAAATTATCAATTCAACAATGGGTTGTCTGATTCGTCTGAAAATTACAGGGCAGATATATCTTAACCTGATGAACATTTTTATCCATGTCAGATTTGCTCTAAATGCTTTAGTTTCAGAGATATAAGCTAAAAACTGCATTTGACCCCTATGTTCTAATTTTAGTAACAGGGGCCATGTTTGTTGATAGATCAAAACTTCAGATACAATTTATAAACTAAATACCATAAGGAACATTCATTTAAAGTTTGAAGGTATTTTGCCTAGTAGTTTCAGAGGAGAAGATTTTTGTATAAGATTACAAAAATTTACGAAAAATTGTTAAAAATTGACTATAAAGGGCAATAACTCCTTAAGGGGTCAATTGACAATTTTGGTCATGCTGACATATTTGTAAATCTTACTTTGCTGAACATTATTGCTGCTTACAGTTTATCTCTATCTATAATAATATTCAAGATAATAACCAAAAACTGTAAAATTTTCTTAAAATGATCAATTCAGGGACAGCGACCCAACAATGGGTTGTCTGATTCGTCTGAAAATTTCAGGGCAGATAGATCTTAACCTGATGAACATTTTTACCCCATTTCAGATATGCCCTTAATGCTTTAGTTTCAGAGATATTTATGCCAAAAACTGCATTTGACCCCTATGTTCTAATTTTAGCAACAGCGGCCATGTTTGTTGATAGATCACAAATTCAGATACAATTTATAAACTAGATACCCTAAGGAACATTCATTTAAAGTTTGAAGATATTTTGCTCAATAGTTTCAGAGTAGAAGATTCTTGAAATAGTTTACGACGACAATGCTGTTGCTGACAGACAAGGACGACGACCGACGCCAAGTGATGGCATAAGCTCACATGGCCCTTCAGGCCAGGTGAGCTAAATAGTTTGATGAAATAGAATCTAGTTTAAATGAAAATAGACAACTGCATGTATTCTTCAGTTTACAGTACATATAAAATAGAATGTATAAAATATATGACTTGAGACTTCTATCAAATGCTTTATTCGGATCTGTTGTCTCAAGCTGCCTTACCAGATTCCCTGACAAGTTTTACTGTTTTATGTTAATCAATATAACTTACAGTTCAAAACAAAGAATTTCTATCAATGAGTTACAACTGCCCTGAAGTATATTTACTTCAATTGGTTGAAATAAAAAAAAAATATTAATAACTTCACGACTCAACTTACATCAAAATTATTAAAGATAAAACAGTAATAAACTAGAAACAGGGTTGTTAAAAACACGTGTTTTATGAGTATTGCTCAGCCGGGTGGGAAATACTGGGAAAACCTGGGTTTTAATGGGTAATATAAAATAGTAGCCTCATTCTTTAAGAGTATTAAAATTTAATACATAAAAGATATATATGTCATGTATGTAAAACAAACTAATTTACTTTATAAGTTAATTTGTTTGAGACATTTATAAACTAAAAAGTGTATAAATTTGATAAAGTATTGGTACAGCATTAACTCTTAGATATACATGACCACACATAGACATGATAGACAAACTTTATGTGAAAAGTTTACTCATAAAGATTATAGATGTATGTAACCCTCCTAAACATAAATTGCCATTCTGTCTAAATTGGTCAAACTTGAAGCCAAAGTCATTTCATTTTTATATATATATAACTTATATTAACTTAAGAGTTATCTATTAATTTTGGTTAAGGAAAATTGTCTATTCAACAATTTTTGTTCATTGTTAAAAAATGTATACACAATTTTAGCATACTTACATGTACATTACTAATTAATAAGGAATTATTTAGATTATACTAATTTGAAAACAAATTTGTTTATATATTACAATAATTTAAGCCTTTTCACAGGTGTGGGTGATTGGTTCCCTTACGGTGTTTTTTTTACAGTATTGAATTGGTAACCTTTTAGAATAATTTTACTTAAAGGATTGATAAGTTTAACCTGATCGTATCTAAATTTCCGGGCACGGTAAACAACATCACCGTAAAAATTAGGACATGTAGGATGTGCTATTCCGTTTGAAATAAGTTTTCTACAGGTACAGCCAAACTTCCAAACTAAATCTTTGTATCTATGGAAGAATTTAGTAAAGGTTATAAGTTTTAATATGTTAGTGAGGAAGTATCTGTTTGTTTGTTTACAGTTCAAATCAATAAATGCAAAATTTTACTTACAACTAAATTTTATTCCAGCACTTTACATCAAATACTATTTCATTAAGTGAGGTAATTGACATGATTAACTAAAAGGAGTAGGTTCAGTAAGACCCATTTTTGGCCCCAAATTATAGCAGTTTTAGAAAATTGTGAAAATGTAATCTTTAAGCTATATTTTGCCAAGTAAAGCGCTTCTGCTACATAAATATGAGCAGTTTTTGACAATGCAATGCACAAATATCGTGTTCTAGCATCATTAAGTCATGTTAAATTACTGAAATCTTCAAAATTTTAGCATTTTGGTTAATTTTTAGACGGTTTCCGTCTAAAATGAAAGTGGCCGCATTCATGTTCATTCATAATATTGAAATGTAAGTTGTATTTGATGATAATACAAAACATATATAAAGGTTGAGGATGAACACAGATGCGGCCACTTTCATTTTTGACAAAAAACATCTTAAAAGTGACGTTTTTTGGCATATTTGATAGATTTTTCATATTATAGCTTGAATCAGAGCCTTTTTAATGACTAAATCAGTTAAAATCTTTCACATAATCGAATCAATTGAAATAAACACTTAAGTGTTTAAAAAGTGCCCAAAAACTTTCGTTAGATGAACCTGAAATTTGAGGCCAAAATCGGCCCTTACCGGACCTACTCCTTTAAATGTTCAAATAAAATGCCTTTTATATGAAATTCAAAGGTTTATTAAGGTCTTTCCTTTTACAAAAGGGAAAGACCTTACTGTATTTCTTCTGTTTATTATTATTATTCTTCCGCCAAACTTTGACAAATTTATCCTTGTTAACCGTAAGGCGTGTCGCTTTCATGTTCACAATTTGTATCGGTCTCATGAATACCTATCCTGAACTTACCCTGTTAGTCGAAATATTTTGTCGGTTCGGAGTAATCCCTCCGAAACCCAAAAACCTTGTTATCGTTCCAACACCGTAACCATCATAGGTAGAAATAAAACGAAGGGTGAAATTTGTTCAGGACCAGACCCTGGTTCTTCGTTACATTTGGATCGAAAAGAGTTAACGACTCATTGGTAGGGTTATGCCCCTATGAAAATTAACCGGTGTCGGTTGGCCACCAAAACTCAGAAACCGTAAGTCGTAGACACCTAGGATCTTCACCATTCATCATCAATTCATGTATCTTTGAAAAATACCTCAAGGTCAAATTTGTATGTTGACCTTGACCTTTGACCTAACACCTTGTTATGGGATAATCTCAGAAACCATTATACTTACAGAAGTTTTAAATAGTGGAAAATGTTTGGGTCATTACGGCGCAACTTTGTTACATTTTGACCAAAGAGATTTGACCTTTTTATAAGGGGCATAACCCCAGTTTTAGGTTTCCGAAAAGACGAAATCAGATTTTACTATATAACCAAAGGTCCTAGACCCATGGGGTTTTCAGCAATGACATTGGGGACTAATGACCTTGACAAAGGTCAAAAGGTAAAAGGTCAAGGTCATGTCCCATATAGCGAATTATGTGTTTTTGACCTAATTTAAAGGATTTTCAGTGTGTTTTAAACATTTTCAGTGTGTTTTGAAGCTTTTTAAGGTTGACCTTGACCTTTGACCTTACAACTTTTTAGTCGATATCTCAAAAACGATTGTACTTACAGAAATAGTAAATAGTGAAAAACGTTAAGAGGATGAGGCACAACTTTTTTACATTTGACCTTTCTGTAAGGGGCATAACCTGTGTAAGAACTTTTCAATACACTCTACGTCTATTGGAACATGTATTTTACATTACAAAAGGAAAGACCTCTCAATTGTTCAAGAACAATTGACATTTTAATTTAACCTCCTGTTTTAATTGCATCAGAATATTTGCAAATACTATTTTTACCAACCGCGGATCCAGTAATCAGAGTTTTTGGATAATCGTGTTCTAGATAAAGATTGGAGTTATAATATTCAATTCTAAAAATTTTTTATTTCTTTTTGCATTGCTTTGATATTGTGATTTTTCTAGTAATTTTGAAGTTATTAGTATTCAACTTATAACTTTAATGATACCAATGTTTACTGCACCGGTGAATTTCAAATTATTTTGATTTTAGTGCTTGTTTAACAATTCAATTTTTAAACAATTTCAATTATGAAATTTAATATTTTCAAGCTGATAAATATGCTTTGGGCAGCTATCACGCATTTATAGAAATTCTTTGTTTTGAACAATAAGTAGGCCTAAACAATAGGACATAAGAACATGATTTACATTCATTCTTCACGATTAAAACACATCAAATCCTACAATTTCATTAGTCAAGAGCACTTTGCTATATAATTATATTCAAAGTTTGTATGTATACATGTTAAATTCATGTTTATTTGTAAAATCATACATTTCATTGGCTAATCACTGTACACTTTTGTACATGTAATTACATCGATCAACATTTTTAAAGTTAAAAAGGAGGAGGGTTGGCATTTCAGAAGATCTGGTTTAATCTTGTCACATATTCATGTGGCTGTTCAAAGAAATATATACATGCAAATTATGACAAATAACTCACCAATTCCAGTATTCCGATATCTGATCTGCTGACCACATTTCATACAAGGACAAACATCGAACTTATTGTGATAGTCATTTGTTAAAAAATAATGATGTCCAGAGAACCGAATAGTTAGCCTGGAGAACAGATGATTTGCTAATAATGTGCAAATATATGATTCATCATTTTTTATAGGTCTATCTCTTTTTTCAGGTATTCTATGCATGCATCTCAAACAATCCTCATGGAAATCTGCAAATATATATACATGTTTGCATTAGATATGTAAAGAAACAAGAGGCTCCTTGTACTTATTTGTAGGTTTTACTTTTCTGAACTTTTTTGCCATTTCAAGTTTCTTATCATAAAAAGTGCCCTGCCCCTTTTGATTTCTAGCTGGAGCACTGTGACTTATTGTAGGTCTTACTCTGCTAAACATTTTTGCCATTTACAGTTTCTCTCTATCTATCATAGCTTCTGCCAAAAATTTTAAAATTAATAAAATAGTCTTTCAAGGGCAATAACTCCTATAAGGGTTCAATTGACTATTTCCGTCGGTCTGACTTATTTGTATATCTTACTTTGCTGAACATTTTTCTGTTACTGTTTCTCTCTATCTACATTTGTATATACATGTATATATTATATTCAAGATAATAACCAAAAACTGTGAAATTTCAGGGGAAATAACCCAACAATGCCTTAATGCACCTACTTTGTATTAATATTAAGCAAGGTCTTAAGAATTGAAATTTTACAGAGATTTTGTTTCCCTAGAAAAATTGATATCACAGACTTTTAGAACCATAAATTAGACATCTCGTTTGTTCAAAAATTTTATATTTATATTATTCATGTTATTTAGTCATTTTTGATACAAATTTCTAAATTTTCTAGAAAATTGGAATGGAAGTGGGGAATGTGTCAAAGAGACAACAAACTGACCAAAGAGAGGAAAACAGCATATTTGACTAGCTATAGAATACTAAGATTTATTTTCCTTGGAAAACTTTTCCTGGGGCTCACTTTTCTAGTAAAATTGTGGTCATGGACGATTACCTAGGAAACAAAAAGACTGGGGAACAAATTTTACTACCGAACAGATTTTACTGTTAGTGCTGCATAATTAACTGGCTGTTTCTGTATTAGCCCTGGTATAGATTCGAGTTTAGTATTGGCCCAGAGACTCGAAAACAAGATTGCAGCTTAAAGTAAAGCTGTGTGGTCAATCCATTTTTTTTCATATATTTTTGAAAAACATTGCTTAATATTAATACAAAGTAGGTGCATTAAGGCCGGGTTTGGCCCAAGAAAATAAAGTTTTTTAGAACTATTTCAAGTTTGCACATATTGTTTGGAAATGCATAAAATAAAAAAAAATGTAAATGAATCACAAAAGATTTTTGATGTAATGTAGTCGCAATTATGTCATAATATGCACCGTTTTCATGAAAACATAGAAAACTCCAGAATTTCTACAGTTTTCCATCGTTATTTCCAGTGTGGAAAAATCATGCGCAGCCAAGAAACAACAAAATAATTTAAGAGTATTTTTATTATAAATATTGACATACTGTCACTAAATATAAAGTTGTTTCTTGGATGCACATACTTTTCCAATCTAATATATATATACTTAAAAGATGTAAATCAAGGAAAATCAAGAAATTTTACAAAATACACACATTTTGTCATGTGTGTCATAGTTTGTTAATTGCAATACATGTATATAGTAACATGTTAATAATGTGATGTGAAATGTGTTTTTATTTTCTGAAAACCTTAAGCGCGCTTATACCTTATTAGAGTCAGGACAAATTTAAGAATATGTATGGTAACTTTTCAAATTGCTATAATATTTAGGCCAAATAAGACCTCTGCAAATTATATATAAGGTGTTATTAACTGGAGAAGTAGTTTTCATCATACTACTGAGGTTCTCATTGCTAAGCAATAATACAGTTTAATATTTCATTTATAAACATTTTTGAATTATGTTAATGATTTGATTGATATTATTGTAGCAAGTGTCAATTTGTTGGTTTACATGTATATTCATAGTATGTACAGTACATGTATCCATGAATAAATATAAAAATGTTGTGCAGATATTATTTTGTCTTCTTATAAATCTGACAGACAATAAATAGCAAGGTATTCCTTATCAACATGAGCCAAATCTCTAACTAAATCTTATAACTTAGTACAACAATCATGACAATTAATTGGGCACAATTAATGTACTTCTCTAAAAACCTTCCTGATGGCTGATGCACAATTATCATACTTAATCTGTTAATCAAAATTTAACATAACTTTTAAAATTTGATCATTTCTTCTAACAATACTGGTATACATGGTATACAGTGACCCAGTCTAAATACATGTAATTATAAATGACTTCTTGAAAGACTACGTTGTCGTCACAGCAAAAAATTAAAATAGCCTTTCAAGACGTCATAATTATTTGGACTAGACTGCTAGAATACACTCATATTCCAGTATCATAGTATTTTTAAGAGAAAAAACACAATACTCGAATAAAATTTTATACCATTATTGTTAGCAATACTGGTACATGTACCAGTGTACATTGTATACATGTACATGGTATACCAGTAATGTGATCTCGAGATTGTGATCCCCAAGTTCAGGTGATCCCAAACTTTTATCAAGGAAATCATGATAGGAAATGCAAGCCCTGGAATAATGTATCAACTGGGAGATAAATACTCCATATGCAGGCGCTGCCTAATATTTACAACAACAAAAAAAAGTAAAATAAAAAAGCGGGGCATTCCGCAAGCACCTGTGAATTTCACATCATGAATTTTTCATTTGGGGTTTTTGACATAAATCAAAATGTATACAAAAACTACAATTTTTACATACCTTTCTCTTCTAAGAATCCTAATATAAAAGCGTCCGTAACGAACTGAAGACTTGGATCTGGACATTTCTTTCCTTCGATGTTTAGTTCAAGAGAACGGAAACCATCCTCAAACATTGACTTGAATGATACTCGTTTAGTGAAAACCCCTTCACCTGTTTTCATGACTTCCTGTGCTTCCATTATATCAAGAACTTTTCCGGATTTATCTTCCAGATACTGTATAGTATCAACATTAGCCCTGGAAAAATTTCTACCTAATGCATATCCTCTTATTCGTAAGGGTTGAAATTCTGTGTCTTCGAAATCACTGAGTGCTTCTCTTATAAGTCTGGAACAAGATGCGTTCCGTGATAATGCAGATTCTTTGGAATACAAACAAGAAACTGGGGTATACGTCAACTGTAAACGAACCTTGTTGCACAACCTCGAAAGAATACGTGTCGCCATTTGGATTCGACCTTTAACTTTTGAGACGCTATCGATAGTGGACTTGCTAAAATAATTCAGCTATTTTAACATGTTTACCTAAACAGTTTTCCACATAGAATGTGGCGCTGGACAGTTGCTTAATCATAAATGTATGTTCTAAAAAAAGATTGCGGGAAAACCAGGCTGTCTAATTCGTGAATATTCCCTTTTGATGAATTACTCTACTATACGTGGTTTAAGATTTAATTCAGTCCTGAAGAATTTTCTGTAAATTCAGCTTCCTTTGAAATTCATTATAAAATATAATAATGTGAATAATATTTCAGGGGTTGTGTTCGATAATGGTGATGATGATGTAACCTGATACAGGCTGATTATGTCATCATCAATGACAATATTTGCCGACAATTTTGACTTTACGAAAACGAGTCTGCGGAATGTCACTATGAACAATATTTAGCTATTTAAAAAGCTGAGCCAGTCCTTGCAGGAATTCACGACATATGAATTTAGTCGGGTTAACCCACATGTTGATTATTTGGACATCCACATTTTCCTAACTGTAACAATTCATATATATATTATATTACATGTATTCGCCACGTTAGCGATGATAATCTTGAAGGACCTTGAACAATATGGTCTGATCCACTGCCGGCAAATATTAACTACTGTAGAGTTTAGTTAAAACATTCTAAAGAAAATGTATTATGATAATAATAAACCCTAAAGTTTAAAAAGAAAAGACTTGTGTTGAACATAGACTGTAGAATGGCTTAACAATTTTAACTCTATGTCTGTTCCTATGATTAAAATTCGATCTGGCAAATAAAACGTTGAAAACCCAAGTATGTATAAGAACATGAACACTTGAAGAGCTATATGTGTCGTGATTGGTAGGAAACCTCAAGTACCTGCTCTTTGTTTGGAAGTGAAAAAGTTTACATCTTCTTTTTTTTATGTACAACAACATCATATTATTATGGATGGTGATCGTCAGTTTAAGCTTGATTTAGTTCGTCGGTCTTAACCTGTCTTACGAAGTTCTGCTAATAACGCAGACAGCGTTAGTTTGTTTTTATGTTTCCTTTTATTAATTGTACCTGTTTTTGTGTCATAATTGGTAGGAAAGTGCAATAGTAAGTTTCTGATCTTTTTGCGACATGGGAAAAAGCTGTTTAGAATTTAAACGTGTGTAGGTAGGAAAGAGCGATCGTCAACTTATTTTTTTCCTAAGTAAGGGGTGTATGAGAGAATGACAACATTAAGCATCTTTCGTCCCTCTTTTAAGATCATTTTTGTATTCCGCCTTTTTTTCAGCTTATATCATTGATGCATATCACTATTATATTGTTATGGATAGGAAAAGGCGATCTAAGACTTTTAGAGTTTAATCGTGTGTTGGTAGGAATGAGCGATTGTCATCTTTATTTTTTGTTAGTAGTATGTGGTTAATGACGGCATGACAACATTAAGAGATCCTTTTCCGCTTTTTTCAGCTTATTCCTTTGATGTACATCACTATCATACTGTTATTGATGGGAAAGGGTAATCGTTATTTTGGGTTTGATTTATTTGTCCGTCCTAATTTTTTTAATATAATTCTGCTAATAATGAAGACAGCCATTTTTTGTTTGTTTTATGTTTCTTTGTGTTAATTGTACCCCTTTTTGTGTCGTAGATGATAGTAAACTGCAATACGAAGTTACCGGTCATTTTTTCGGCAAGTGAAAAATGACTTTTAGAATTTAAACGTGCGTTGGTAGGAAAGAGCGATCGTCAACTTTATTTTTTGTTAGTATGGAGTTTATGACGGAATGACAACATTAGGATAATTTCCCGCCTTTTTCATCTTATTTCATTGATGTACATCACTAACATATTGTTATTGATAGGAAAGGATAATCGTCAGTTTGTCTGTCCTTACCGGTCATATGAAGTTCTGCTAATAATGTAAACAGTGATAGTTTGTTTTTATTCTTCCTTATATTAATTGTCTTTCTGTGTCGTAATTTGTAGGAAAGTGCAAAAGTAAGTTGATGATGATTTTTTAGCAAGTGAAAAATGACGTTTAGAATTTAAACCTGTGTAGGTAGTAAAGAGTGATCGTCAACTTAAGATTTTCGAAATAAGGGGTTCATGACAGAATGGCAATAATAAGATCATTTTTGTATTCCACCTCCTTTCGGTTTATAGCTTTGAAGCACATCGCTATCATATTCTTATTGATAAGAAAAGGCGATCGAAAGAGCTTGTCCGTCCTCGCCTATCTTATGAATTTCTGCTAATGTAGATAGAGATAGTTTGTTTTGATATTTCCTTATATTGATTGTACCTCGTTCTGTGTCGTAATTGGTAGGAAGCTCTTTTTTTTTGGAAGTAAAAAATTCTGTTCAAAATTAAACGTGTGTAGGTAGGAAAGAGCGATCGTCAACTTAAATTTTTCTTAGTAAGTGGTTTAGGACAGAATGGCAACATTAAAATCATTATTGAATTCCGCCGTTTTTAGCTTATTTCTTTGATGTACATAACTATCATTTTGCTATTGTTAGGAAAAGGCGATCATCATTTTGTTTTGAGATCAGTTTGTTCGTCATAACCTGCCTGATGAACTTCTGCTAATAATGTAGACAGCGATAGTTTGTTGTTATGTTTCCTTATATTAATTGTACCTGTTTTTGTGTCGTAATTGGTAGGAAAGTGCAATAGTAAGTTACTGATATGTTTTCGACAAGGGAAAAAGCTGTTTAGAATTTAAACGTGTGTAGGTAGGAAAGAGCGATCGTCAACTTATTTTTTTCCTAAGTAAGGGGTGTATGAGAAAATGACAATATTAAGATCATTTTTGTTTTCCGCCTTTTTTATGTTATATCTTTGATGCATATCACTATCATATTGTTATGGATAGAAAAAAGCGATCGTTAGTTTGTGTTTGATTTAGTTTTTCCGTCCTAACCTGCAGTCTTATGAATTTCTGCTAATAATGTAGATAGGGATAGTTTGTTTTTATGTTTACTTGTATTAATTAAACCTCTTTTTGTGTCATAATTGGTAGGAAAGTGCAATAGTAAAATGCTGACATTTTTTTCTGCAAGTGAAAAAGACTTTTATAATTTGATCGTGTGTAGGTAGGAAAGAGCGATTGTCATCTTTATTTTTTGTAAGTAGCGGGTTTGTGATGGAATGACAACCTTGAGATCATTTACCGCCTTTTTCAGCTTATTTCTTTGATGTACATCACTATCATACTGTTATTGATAGGAAAGGGTAATTGTTAGTTTGTGTTTGATTTATTTGTCCGTCCTAACCTGTTTTATGAATGTCTGCTAATAATGTAGATAGGGATAGTTTGTTTTGATGTTTCCTTATATTGATTGTACTTCGTTCTGTGTCGTGATTGGTAGGAAAACTCAAGTACCTGCTCTTTTTTTGGAAGTGAAAAATTCTGTTTAAAATTAGACGTGTGTTGGTAGAAAAGAGCGACCGTCAATGGAAATTTTTCTTAGTAAGGGATTTATGATAAAATGGCAACATTAAGATCATTTTTTTATTACGCCGTTTTCATCTTCTTTTTTTTATGTACATCACTATCATATTGTTATAGATAGGAAAATTAAGGGGACTGTTAGTTTGTGCTTGATTTAGTTCGTCGGTCTTAACCTGTCTTACGAAGTTCTGCTAATAACGTAGACAGCGTTAGTTTGTATTTATGTTTCCTTTTATTAATTGTACCTGTTTTTGTGTCGTAATTGGTAGGAAAGTGCAATCGTAAGTTACTGATCTTTTTGCGACAAGGGAAAAATGCTGTTTAGAATTTAAACGTGTGTTGGTAGGAAAGAGCGATTGTCATCTTTAGTTTTTGTTAGTATGTGGTTAATGACGGCATGACAACATTAAGAGATCCTTTTCCGCTTTTTTTCAGCTTATTCCTTTGATGTACATCAATATCATACTGTTATTGATGGGAAAGGGTAATCGTTAGTTTTGGTTTGATTTATTTGTCCGTCCTAATCTGTTTTATATAATTCTGCTAATAATGAAGACAGCCATTTTTTGTTTGTTTTATGTTTCTTTGTGTTAATTGTACCCCTTTTTGTGTCGTAGATGATAGTAAACTGCAATAAGAAGTTACTGGGTTTTTTTTTCGGCAAGTGAAAAATGACTTTTAGAATTTAAACGTGCGTTGGTAGGAAAGAGCGATCGTCAACTGTATTTTTTGTTAGTATGGAGTTTATGACGGAATGGCAACATTAAGATCTACACATCTTAACTACACATTACACAATCATTCTTTAGAACATGTAACAACAGCAAAATATCTGGGGGTCACCATCAGTTCCAACCTTAAATGGGATGTGCATATTAACAACATATGCAAATAGCTAATAGCACACTAGGCTTTCTAAGGAGGAACCTGAACATAAGTTCAACATCCATTAAAGAGCAAGCATATAAGTCCCTAGTAAGACCATCACTAGAGTATGCTTGCTCTGTTTGGGATCCATACTTACAACAAGACATATATAGCATTGAAAAAGTTCAAAGGAGGGCTGCGCGTTTTGTTAACTAATTTTCAAGATTCTCACTAATCCCATTAAATTTGCTGTTAATTTCTTTCTTTTCGGTGCTCCCTCAAAGGATTAACATAAACAGCATACATGCGATGTAACTGTCTTTGGACAGATCAGAATCACAAGCACATCTTTTCCCTATTATACCTTAATATAACACCAGGTACTTAACTTGCGTTTTTGAAAAATGTCAACCGGTCGCGAACTTCCGTTATATTTCGATTTCTCGGTTGTCTACCCAACTAAAACTTGTTATGCCGTAAATCTAAATTGATTTATCTACACATTGATGTCATTTTAAAAATCCGTCAATATTCTTGTACGGCTGACCTGTGAGGAAAATACGGCTTTATCATTATTTGAATTTTGGTGTCCTACATAGTGCATCATGCGTAAGTTCTACTAATTGCAGAAGAAAAATAAGGAATAGGTACATGGATTTTCTTGAAAATCGTGCTCAAAGCTCTAAAATTACCTCAAACAACATGTTCCCACTCCAAAAAATACCAAATATGGTATCAACATAGACATCTTTATAATTACACAAATCTTACAATTTTCTGTTTTAAGATAGAAAATACAATGTAGAATGATATTATAAAGGCTTTAAATATTAGCTGCTTATGGTTTCAGATTTATTTAACATTTTTATAGTGTACTTGATATTTTGTCAACTACATAACGAAAACGTTTTTGCTTACTATACTATAACTTCTGACACCCCTTTTTAACTAGAAAGTGCCTCAGCACAAACTCTACATATCATTATAATAATGGAAGCATAAAAAGATAACTCTGTAAATGGTATCATCAATTATTGGCATTTAATTAAGTAGAGGAACCCCCGTATTTATTTAGCTTGTCCACTTGGTAACATGATTTTTTTTTCAAGATAACAATGGAACACCACGTCCACATCTATATCATTATAATCAATTTTCTGTGGTTTTTTTTATAGGAAAAGCACATTGAATGTGGTATTAAAAAATGCCCCAAAGTGTTAATATGTCAACTACATAACAATTCACCTAATTTCGTTATGTAGGTGACAAAAAGCAAAAGTCAAAATAGGTCGTTGAACACTGTAATAACCAAAGTGATTAGAAAAAAGTAAATTTATCTTATAATATTTAAGCAAAAGATCATCATTCATTAGTACCAAACATTAAGATATCAACATAATTGCTATCGCGGTATGTAGTTGACAAATCCGTAATTTATGTAATCTCATTTTGCTTTCAAAATAATCTTCCCAGTTTCATTAAGACTGCACATTTTAGATTTTGTAGGTTCATATAAATAATTGAGAGTTCATTAGATTAATCAAAATTGAATTTAGTTGAAAAAAAATATATTTTCTCAATTTCTATCTAAAATATGGATGGATTTTGAAAACGACCTATAACACGCCTACCTTTTTGTCGGAATCATTCGTAGCAGGCCTACCCAAGTATGTCAACCGTAATTATTTTGTATATCCACAACCGATTGGAAATATAAGGATCGCTGTTAAGTACCTTGTGTTATGTTAAGGTATATAGGAGGAAAAAATTCAGAGACAAGTGCCTGTGATCAGAATGCCAAAGATGCATAAAGACAATGGGACTATACTAAAAGACTCATTAAAAAAATCAATATCGTTATCATTTTAAAATTACTTAATCACAATATTGTTCACCACTTTGTAAGTTGGCTGATAATGTGAAGGTTAAGGTATTAACAGACACACGTTATGGGAAAACAGACGAAATCGCGTAATATCCAAACAAAGTGAGATCAGACCAGTATAGAGAGGATCGGTATCTGTTGTCTTATTTACTAGTCATTAGATACTTATGTCCAGTAGCAATCATAATGGTCTCGATGGTGTTCACAGATTAAAAGGCAAATAAAATAAAGATTCGAACAAATGGTAATAAAGATAAAGAATAGAGAAGAATGGGTGTTAAAAAAAGAATAGAGAATAATTGACAAAAAATATAAAGAATTAAAAAAAATGTCTTTAAAAATAAATTTTAAAAAAAAAGAAATGAAGACCTCCCATCAAGACCTTTAACCATCACGAATGCAAATACAAATGTAAGAGGATACCTATCGAAGGTGGAATCAAAACCGTAGGTCAAATGAAATATTGACAACACCATGGCCAAAATGGAAGCAACAGTAGTTTTCCTATGTTCAAATAAAAAATTAAAAAATCCATTCAAAAGGTACCAATGAAGGGAAAACAATGAAGAAAACACTTGAAGGAATAACAGGATCTTCAGAATGAGTGAAACCGGACGCATTGCCAGAGTAAGCGTCCCGCCATCTGGGACTAAAAGTGCTAATCCGCAAAAACAAACACCAAAATTTTAATATTGACAAAACCGACCCAAACCAAGGTGGATTTAGGTGCTCCGGAAAAGTAAGCAGTGCTTGCTTCACTACTGAAACCTGTGGTGTTCATAAAAAAAATCCCAAAGTCACAATTAAAGTTGTTGTTACTGTTATCAGCATTTTATATTTGTTGTTAACTGTTTTTGCCAAAATCGAGGTGTTGTCAACATGTTAACGGACCCCCTATTGCCCCCCTTTTAATCGAATCAATTCACTTCAAGTACATCTTAATTATTTGAATATTGAAGAAAAAGGAATGAAAGAATTTTATTTGAGATTTATATGCCCACGTTTTATGATAATATACACGCATGTCCAAACAAGCTCATTACAAAAAAAATAATCATTTCGTTGCCTCTTTTGTATATCCATGGGTAATACATTCGTCCCAGTCAGGCCAGTATGTCTCCTTCATCCTTTCACAATAGTCACATAAGTTTCTATATTCTGAAAATAAAAATTAAGATTTTAAATTGTTTAAGTTCAGTTAGTTTTCCTATGGTTATCAATGTATTTCGTTTACGACATTCTTTTATATATATGTCAGCAATATTTATGTATTTGAGGAACAGGCATATTTTGATAAAGAATTACAAATAATGTAGTAAACGGTTTGCATTGTTTTCTCATTATTCATATTGTAAATTTATATTTGTTACAAAAAAGAAGAAAGAAAAAAAACTGTTTTTTTCTGAATGAAAATTTTAGTTATTCTTGAAATATTTACTTTCATAAAGTATATACATGCTCCTTTCGATATTGGTTGTTTTTATTTTGTAATGGTGTGTCACATGCTATAGATGTACATGTAGTATAATGACAATAAAGATATGAATTGAATTTTTAAAAAAAATATTTACTAGGTTTCGTTGAATTAAAAATCATCATTCTGAAATCACACAAATAAGGATAACCATGACATTTGGATAGGTGATACTTACCTTTGATTCTTGATTCTACTGTACTTCCGAACGATTGCCAGTAAGCATTACCAATAAGACCAAATACACTACAGTCTGCTTGGCATGGCTTGTCTCCAAGCAGAAATTTTTTATTACCTAAAAAGAAGTTCGAGAAAAGTAAAAACAAAGTTGCAAGCTTCTTTTAATGGTTTGTTTTAGAACTAATTCTCAACTGTACACTGCTATGCAAAGTGAGTTTTGTACTGTAGATTTATAATAAAAAATTTCGTTTCCATTTTGTTAACAGTTTGGTGAGTTTTTTTCGACTTGCGTGAAACTCTACCTTTCTAAAACAACCCATGAATGTGTTCGTGTAAGCTTGCTTGATATAAATGTAAACTACAATCTACAGAACATATTCAAAATTTTAAGGTAACCAAATTATAAGAGTAAAATATCAATTAGTGGATAAATTGTTTCTTATACTTTAAATCATCAAGAAACTCTGCTTTAGCATGCCTAATTTGCTTTGCTTAAATATGCTTATTGTGACATGTTTATGACAACAATATCACCATGATCCCACTGATTAAACAAATTATATTTTTGTATAGCTTAAGCAATAAATTTCATATACTAGTACTAAAATCTTTAGAGAGTCAAAGCATGAACAAGCTTAAGTAAGTATGTTCCTTAAAGAGTACCTTTTTGAAATAAACATCTGACTAATCATAGGAACATTATTTTTACATCAGATGTAATTCACCGTGCACAACCGAGGGAGTCGCAGAAAAAAAGAGAGCCGCTTTTGAATCAAGGTGGAAGAGTCGATTTTCGATCTTGCAAACGAATTCTAGTTGCAAAATGTTTGGACATTTCTTTTCTCTGAACCACTCTAATAGACTGTTATACCACATCAATCCCTCAAAATGTGTTACGCCCCCACCACCTGCAGATTTTTAAACTTCGACACTATTGCTATGATTTTCAACCTAGCGGATAAAAGCTATTAGAACAAATTCCGAAATGATAAAGGTGTTTGTGAGATTGTCCTTTAATAGAAATTTATATAGATACAATGTTACATTATTTTGCCTATTAATGGAGTATAATGCATGTCAGAAGGAAACAAATGAAAACAACACTTTTATAAATTTCATGCGTCCGAAGCGCTTTTCTAAACTTACCTTTGTCAGGAACGCTTAAAGTCGTATTTTTGAAAGCCAAGGATGTATAAGAACCGAAACAGTTGAAGAGCTATATGATCAAAAGGGACCTTGAAATAATAGCCAAATCCATCTAAGATCAATTTTGCATGAGGGACAGGAAACCTTAGTTTCTTTGTCAAATCTTAATTCAATAAATGTTACACAGTGACCCACACGTTACCTAAGAAGTCAGATACAGCCTTCATATCCATCTCCATAATATGGTACACTTCATCTGAACTATGTCGTCCCATACCATGGGCATACGACATTTTCTTCATAGCTCGTCTGATACGATAACCAGTTAGTGTTGGAACTTTCATTGCTTTAAAAGCTGCCCAGTCTTTATCATATGACCATCTATCAAGAACAAAGGCCCTGATATGAACGAAAGAATTCATAGTGAAAAGATTGATGGTTTTACACCGGCTAATTCTAAAACCAGTACCAATTAAAAAAAAGTCAAAAAGATTTTGTCATGGTTATTTAATCTCCATTTAAGTAGACTTAAACATAAGTATTTAAAATGAAGCCTTCATAAATTAAAACCTATTACATTTATACATTTCGAACTATTTCAAATAAATATTAAATATACGGGTATTTATTGACTGGTTATGAGGATAATAGCAAGTTTGTTGTCCCTGAGAAAGCAACTTTTGCTCGAGGCAATTACTACTTCTTGTTTCATGTTGTAAATGACAGATTGAAAAAAATGAACACACCTTTTAATGCGCATTGTTATCCTTTTTATTAGAATTTATTCTATTTCATAGTGTCTTAAATAATCCCTTTGAAAGGTTTTATTAGTACGCAATGCAGAACTTTTCACGATGGGAAACGTGTGTATTACGGAAGGGAACAACCGATGTATTTCTGAATATTGACAAATGTTGAAAAAAAACGATATAATGATGAAATTTGGATTCATTATTATCCATGGAGTACTAGTTTTCAATAATTTCATGGATACGGTGAATTTAATTGTTCAACGAAGCATAACTTGTCGTTCGGCTTGTTTACATACAACTTTGCAAAACCAGAAAACCAAAAATCTACTTAAAAACGCATTCCCCCCAATCTATGGAAATTGGTATCAGAGAAAAAAAAATGAGTCCACAGTTAAAATTGAAAAAAACAATTGGTTTGGATCTTCAAAGTGAATAAAAGAAGACCTTGGGATACATCAACTTTGATGTAACCTCAATATGGAATATATGTTATACGAGGTATTCTGTGCTGAGTGTTCTTGTGTTTGTTTGTACAGTATTCCTGTCACGTAGCAATATTTTAACATTGCCATAAAAGCGGGAGGTTTGGCTAGCCATAAAACCAGGTTCAACCCACCATTTATTCTTAAAATGTCCTGTACCAAGTCAGGAATATGGCAATTTTTATCTGACAGTCCGTTTCTATGTATTTTGTCGTTTGCTTTTGTTGTAGTTCAGTGTTTCTGTTGTTCCGTTGTTTTCCTCTTATAGTTGATGTGTTTCCCTCGGTTTTAGTTTGTTACCCGGATTTGTTGTTGCTCAATCGGATTATGACTATTGAACAGCGATATACTACTGTTGCCTTTTTTAAAAGTTCGATCTAGTGCATATAAACAATTGGCTTAATGGTGTTTTTGCAAAAGCACTCACATGTTACAAGAGAGGCGAAAGATACCAAAGGGATATTCAGACTCATAAATCGAAAACAAATTGACAATGTCATCGCAAAAAACGAAAAACGATCAAAAGACAAACAACAGTATTGAAAACACATTATAGAAAACTAAAGATTGACCAACACGAAGTCATCACTGTCAGGCTGCTGACCAATATGAAGTCATTCTGTTTAGTATAGTACTAGAATTTTTTTTTTTAAATTGCGCGACGAAAATATTAAGTTCATTCAAAATATTAAAAAAGTTAAAGTACCGGCAAGCAGAAAATTGATGTCCGTCAAATCCCGAAAATTGTTTACACGTGACAACTCATCAGTGGCAAGCTACTGATCAAGTATGAAAATATTCTGTCCAGTAGAACATGAGAAGAGTGTTGGAAGAACAGACAAAGTGATTACAATTTATAACCCACGCTTCTAGGGTATTATTAGTCTATATCTATAGTAGGACTTAAAAATATAAAATGTTTGATAATAAATATGGTACTGTCGTATTCAGAATATTCAGATACTAGTATATGAAAATTGCTACCTGAGAACGCTTGTGCGAAGTGGAGATGACTCTTAAAAAAATCTTGTTTATGAACTACATAAACTAATACTGGTCACTTTCTTTTTTAAATGCATGATATGGTATTCGGCATAAGTGTATTATTTCAAAACGTAGAATTGACATACCAGTAAGTGTTTTCTTCTAACATTTTCTGGAAAGCTCTTGCTATTCCCCGTTCCTTTGCTGTAAAATCTTTATCTAGATCGATTCCTAGTTTATTATTTAAATATTCTATACAAAATTCAGAATCTGGTATGTTCTCTCCATTGTATTCGATCCATGGGACTTTTCCTTTCTTGCTAATAGTGAAACTGTGTACATTCTTAAAAAAAATACTCAGCATATATGAAATATAAATGATAGAGGTACGTTAATTTTAAAAACAAGCATTCTGTGAGTATTGCATGGCAATACATAGTCCCCTACCGGTTTGAAATTCATTGTAATGGAACGAAATTCTAACTTGATCTATAACTTGTCATGGTGTAAACTACATAAAAATATCAAGTCAAAATCCTCAAGCATGACGACAAAACTGTTGAAACTGATTATTTAAGTGAATTTTCTATGTCCAAAGACCATAACTCTGCACAAAATCATCAGACCGGAACAAAATTCAAACTTGATCTGTAACTTGTCATGATAAAACTATATACTAATTATCAAATTAATATCTTCAAGAATGACCAACAAACTTACCACTAAATTCTTCAAACAATTTACCAAAGAAAAGGAAAAATATCCAAAAATCTTTTAAAAAATGAGTTATTTCCCTTTGAACAGAAATCTACTAATTAATAAGTATTTCATCAAAAATTTAATTCTAGGGAAAGGGCTTTAACTGAACAAAGAGAAAATCTAAAATCGTGAAAATTGAACTTGACCTGTAACTTGTCATGATAAAACAATAAACCAAATATTAAATCAATATCTTCAAGCACGAAGAAAAAAGTCTGGAAAACTGATTTGCCGGACTGACAGATGGACAGACAGACGGACAGACAGACGGACGGAGTGCAATCCTAAAGTCCCCTTCGACTTCGTCGGTAGGGGACTAATAACTTGTATATTTATAATCAGAACATATGAAAATGTTAAAGTCAGTGTTGTATCGATTCCTTTGTAATAAAACTAATACTAATGTTTTTGAAATTGACTTGGATTTACTTCATTTGAACTCTGGTGGATAGTTGTCTCATTAGCAATCATACCACATCTCCATACCTTTATATTGGACCCTAGTGCACAATGGGAAGTATTTTGCGGAGAGCCTGTATAAGGCAACAAGATACGTGAAACAATCGCATATGCGATGGCAGTGATGGTTTTGTTTTCAAAAAATATAAAATTGTGTCACAAAATGACAATTCAATTTTTCAAACATATTCTTTTTATACATTAAATAATCGTGTAGTGTTGCAATTTCTTCAGGCATATTTCAATATAACTTCCTCTCCAAATATCTTGTGCTGCGTTTTATAGTTTGGTAACATCGTTCGATTTGAAGAAATATCCTAGGAGTTGTTGTGAGATTTAATATGGGAGAATTTTTGTTTTTTCCCTATGATGCGATATATTTCATAACTTGTACGCGATTCTCTTAATAACCATGGTAGTATTTTTAACAAATCAGAATAAAATGCTGGCATATATGATCCTTATATGAAACGTAAACAAAGGGCCAAAATCTCCAATGACAGGGTTACAATACTTGTGACTAATCAATGTAGAATGTTTACAATGCAGTACCGAAAATATGAAAAAAATCTTCAAACGATTCCATAATAGAATGTGCACAACTTCAGCATTTTTACACAATCTGTATGTGAAGTCTTAGATAAGGGATCTTGGTTGAAAACTGTAGAAGTGGAAAACTTGAACCCTCTTTCATACATTTTCTGAAAAATTACTCAGTTCCCAAGTTTGGAAATATGAGAAAAATTCCTCAAACAATTCCTTAAAGGCAGATGCACAACTTCAACATATGTGCAATCGTCCTGTGAAGCTGCATGAATCTGAAAAATGTAGGAGTTGATTACACAAAACCTGTACCCTCTTTCATAAATTTTGCCCGAAAAATTACTAATTTCCCAAGTCTGGAAAATGAGAAAAACTCTTATAACAATTCCATAATATCAGGTGCACAACTTCAACATATGCAATCTTTCTGTGAAGTCTTAGGGATCTTGGTGGAAAACTGTAGGAAAATTTAAAAACGTGTACCTTCTTTCATTTAGTTTGCTAAAAGAGTCTTCAAGCCATTGTCCACTTCTAAACTGTCTATTCTACTTACTAGTACACTTGGTACAATCAAAAATCTGGTAATAAATTGATCAAATAAGGCCTTTGAAAATAGTGGAATTAATGACTTTTGTAGTCTCAAAAATTCGTTGGACTTACTTGATAAATTCGATGCTCATATTGGTGATTTCGAATCTGTTCAAAGTTTTGATTTTTCTACCCGATATACCGCTTTGCCTCATATTCTCATTAAGAAGAAAATCACATACATAATTAGATGGGCATTTTGTCCCAGGTTAGGGGAGGGTTGGCGCCTTCAAACGAGTTTAACCCCGCCACATTCTGTATGTGCCTGTCCCAAGTGAGGAGCCTGTAATTCAGTGGTTGTCATTTGTTGCTGCGTACCATATATATTTTTTGTCAATTATTTTGTACATAAATTAGGCCGTTAGTTTTCTCGTTTGAATTGTTTTACATTTGTCATTTCGGGGCTTTTTATAGCTGACTATGCGGTATAGGTTTTGCTCATTGTTGAAGGCCGTACAGTGACCTATAGTTGTTAATTTCTGTGTCATGTGGTCTCTTGTGGAGAGATGTCTCATTGGCTATCATACCACATCTTCTTAATATTTTTATATTTAAAAAGTCAGAATGCGAATATTTATGCTCAAACTCTTTTAGTTCAGTTTTTAGTAACAACAAACAAAAGAAGTATGTCATTTGGACCAGCTTTGATACGATAACTGTCCTTGAATTTTCACTAGATAACATTTTTGTTCGCAATGGAGATTCTGTATATCGTCAAGTTATTGGAATTCCAATGGGGACTTACTGTGCACCACATTATGCGGAACTGCTTCTGTATTATTACGGGTTACAATTTATGGCTAAAATCAGCAAAAACCCATCGATACAAAAATTTAATAACACTGTTAGATATTTGAATGAAAAATTGGCTCTCAATAATGACGACTTCAGTGTGTACACTAAAGAGATTTATCGTGTTGAACTGACTTTAAATAAAGCTAATACGAACAATGAACACTGCCCTTTTCTGGATCTTGATATCTTGACTTTATTTTTAACAGGAATCTTAATACTAAAATTTACAATGAAAGAGATGATTTTTCATGATTGTTAATAATCCATTTTTAGATGGTGACGTTCCTACATCTTATGGTGTTTATGTATCTCAACTTGTTCGATTCGATCGTGTATGTACCAACGTATTTGATTTTAACGAAAAAAATCTCTGTATTACTGAAAAATTATAACATCAGGGTTTTCGATATCACAAACTTGTCAAAACATTCACTAAATTTTATCATCGGTACAAGGACATCATTCGTAAATATAAATCAACGTGTAGACATCTTATATGTTCAGGTATTTCACATCCCATCTTTTATGGTAATATTCTATACAAAGCACAAAAAATGTTGTCATTAATCTCAAAAGCTAACCAAATCTTTAAATAGACTTATTCAGAAGGGATATAGTTACGATACTGTTGTCAGTCAGCAGTCAGCAGTCAAGGCTATAACTCTATAGGGTTATAAGAGAAAAATAACATACATTTGTTATTGTGGACTAAAAAATCAAAGAACTGTGATAACATATGTATGTCACATGTTTCAAAGGGCCAATATACATCATTTGTTTTGTTAAAATGTATACAAGTTCTATTGATATTATTATTGTCTTTATGTATACTAAACTATAGAAAGATATAACAGTTCAAAGTTTGCCAATCATGCATAGTACACCTATGTTTTTACAGAAAAAATATGCCTGTAATAACTAATGGATGTTATTTCAGCTTCTCTACATCACTTCAAAGCCTTTCCTCAGACATAAATCATGCTTAATCACAATGTATTTTAATTCATTGTAAGAAATAATGATCATGGCACGTAATGAGGTTCTGCGCAAGCTTCCAAGTAATTACCAAGGGTCTTATATAATAAGTTACATGTCTTTAATAACTAAGCCTTGTTTTTACAGCTAAGTTTATCCCTTGAAAGCCTTGTCTCATTGATTTACCATGGTTGATGAAAAATGTATTAATGTAATTCGAAAATTAGTAATCAAGGCTATGTATTTAGCTTCTGCGCAAAGTTTCAAGATTTCCCAAGTGCCCATTAAAAATTAAAATATTAATGATTTATTTAATAAATAACAAACATATGTTAAAACAGATTTAGAAAATTTAAGCAATAAAGAGTAGACAACTCATGAAAGTATCTGTAATAACACATGTATGATATTTTCTCCAATAACCCTATAGAGTTATATATCCCTGACTGCTGACTGCTTGTCAGGTCATTAAAGATGGCATTTTTTTTTGGAATTAATATTGATTCACTCATAGGGTCTTTGCATCGGAAATAAACACATTTATTATAACACCAGTTGTTGGCATAATACGGGTTATGTTCTTCTCGTATATTTTATGTTATTAAACTTCATGTCAAAATGCAAGAGTTTGATTGGTTAATACGAGGGAGACCATTTACTCTATCCCATGGCAAATACTCTAATACCCTTCACGGAGACGCTTGCTCAAGTGTACGGATGATTGTTATGTACGTACAAGACGACATAATTTATTACTTTGAATTTGAAATTTAATAGACAGTTATAACAGAACATTCAGGATTATAAATCAAATAACACATATCTGAGATGGTGATAGAGCAGATTGTTACTCCTCGAAAAGACATTGTCAACCTTGGTCGGCTCAGTTGACAACGTTTTCTCGGGGTAATAATCTGCTCTATCACCCTCCCAGCTATGTGTTATTTATATAATGGTATGATACTAAATCCCTAACGTAAGAGACTGTATGATGAAGACATAAGCTTTCAATCAGTTTAATTAAGGTCTTGAGCTGGCATGTCAGTAACTGCTAGTAGTCCTTTATTAATTTATGTTGATCATTGTCATTTTGCTTAGTTTCTTCTGTTACCTATTCTAACATCGGACTCAGATTTCTTTTGAACTGAGTTTTACTGTGCGTATTGACGTGTGTGTTTGTTTATTCCACATTGGCTAGAGGTATAAGGGGAGCGTTGAGATCTCACAAAACATGTTTACCCTAGCCGCATATTTGCGCCGGTCCCAAGTCAGGAACATCTGGCCTTTGTTAGTCTTGTTTACTTTTACATATTGTGACTTGGATGGAGATTTGTCTCATTGGCACTCATAACACATCTTCTTATATCTATTGTATGCTTTTTAAATTTTGGTTCGTCTATATGTTTCTGAGTTTAGTGTGACGTCCATTTTTGCTGAACTAGTATACATTATTGTGTAAGGGCCAGCTGAAGCCCGCCTCCGGTTGCGGAATTTTCTCGCTGTGTTGAAGACCATTTGTGGCCTTGAGCTGTTTTCTGCTCTTTGGTCAGGTTTTCTCTTTGACACATTCCCCATTTCCATTCTCAATTTTATTAAGTTCTTAAGACTGGTAAAAAGAGAAACGAAATTCATCAACTATTCCATAAAAGCAGATGAACAACTTAAAAATATGTGCAATCATTCTCCCAAGTTTCAGGGGTCTTGGTTGAAAACTGTAGGAGTTGATAACAAAAGTTAGGAAACCACTTTCGGCCAACCCGGCCAACAAAGTTCAACAATGGGAAAATGTCCAATTTGGATATTGACAAAATATGATTTGTTTAATCACTATTTTCGCACATTCAGATAATTTATATTTCAGAAATAAACAGATTAAACAGAACTATATATGTTCGAACACTAAAAAACGATGGACAAGAAATTAATATAAAATTCGAAAAGAGCGCAAGAGATAAAGTACTAAAGAAATAAAATTAAGGATGTCTGGTCAACATATGACGTCGTCTTACAAAAGAGCTTCCCAATAGTGAGCCTTCCATTTCTATGTAGCAACATTCCAGCAGTGCTGCATACGGAGTATATATCTCCCAGTTGATACGATATTCCAGGGCTTGCATTTTCTATCTTGATTTCCTTGATAGAGGGTTGCTGCTCACAAGGAAGCTATTAAATCAAGAGATCCAAGTGGTGAAGTTGAAATCAGCCCTTTGTAAAATTTACGGACGCCATCACGAGTTGGTTGACCGTAATGCAATACAGATGATTACGGATATGTTCCAATTGTTGTAGCTACAATCCCGTCCCCCTTTCCCCGAATGTGACCTACCGAATTAGACTTATCACCGGGTTGGTTCTTACATGAGCAACACGACGGGTGTCAGATGTGAAGCAGGACCTGCTTACCCTTCCGGACTACCTGAGATCCCTCCCTAGTTTTTGGTGGGGTTCGTGTTGCTCAGTCTTTAGTTTTCTATTTTATGTTTTGTGTACTGTTGTTTGTCTATCTTTTTCTTTTTTAGCCATGGCGTTGTCAGTTTATTTTCGACTTATGATTTTGAATGTCCCTTTGGTATCTTTCGCCTCTCTTTTATACAACGTGCATAACAAGCTGTTTATGTCAAATCGCCATTAATGAATACATGAATATTTAATGAGGTCTTTGCGGAGTTACCTCCCCCTGACCAAATCTAATCGAAATTGCCTTAACATCACTGCGTCACAAAAAAGGCGAAACTTGCTCCTGATATCGAGAAGTTAGTTATTAATGACGAATAGGTATCAAGCTTCCGATTATTACACACCAGATCTAACTATAATGTAATAGATATGTATACCTACCTCATAGGGAATTTTTGCCATACGCAGGTAAGTTTCTAATTTAATAGCATATGGTGTCAGACTGGGTGCATATGGACCCCGTCCAATCTGATGCAATATTACTGTATCTGGTGCAGTATCCTTCCTAAAATTACAAAATAACAAATTACATGTACAGCTTGTTGAGGCGTTTTACACTTTAACCGGGTTCATTCGAAGGAAAAATCCGGTTATTGAAATAATGGAGTACGGCGGGCGGCGGGCTGCTGCCAACAGTTTCCGTGCAATCACTTATGAGCCGATCAACCAATACTTTTCAAATTTTAATATGTTGTTACTAATGACGGAATGGAGGTATAATTCGAAATTGACGATTATTATTGTCGTCTGCAGTTCTGTTCAGGAGTTGTGGTCCTTGATATAATTGGAAAATGACACTCTATGTTGTTTCCGTACAATGACTTACTTAGTATGAACCATTCAACTAATGGTTTTATATTTTAGTATGTTGTTACTGAAGACATACTGGGTATTATGGGAAACAAAAGACGGAAGATACGAAGGGAACATTCAAAACTCAGTCTAATTTGATCTTAGTGCGAGTTAACTTCTGTTATTTTTCAAGCTAACTCAGTACCAATATATATTATCCTATCACTGGTCAAATTCCTAAACCTTATCCGAAATTAATAATCTATAACTTCTAAAAATACAAAAAATCAAAATACAGATAATAGGTTGCACATACCTAACAATATTGTTTAAAGGAGAACTTACAAATATAAATAAGAAGATGTGGTATGAGTGCCATTGAGACAACTCTCCATCCAATAGATATAGGAAGATGTGGTATGAGTGCCAATGAGACAACTCTCCATCCAAGTTACAATTTATAAAAGTAAACCATTATAGGTCAAGGTACGGCCTTCAACACGGAGCATTGGCTCACACCGAACAGCAAGCTATAAAGGGCCCCCAAAAATTACTAGTGTAAAACCATTCAAACGGAAGAACCAACGGTCTAATCTATGTAAAAACGAGAAACGAGAAACACGTATGAACTACATAAACAGACGACAACTACTTTAATCAGATTCCTGACTTAGGACAGGTGCAAACATTTGCAGCGGGATTAAACGTTTTAATGGCTTCTCCCTTTTCTGAAACAATAGTATAACATCACAACATAGAAAAACACACTATAAAATATCAATTGGAAGGCGTAACTCAATCCAAAAACGTAAATTAACACACAATGAACGAATAAATTTGACCTGTGACACCTGAATGCAAATGCACAGTTAATAAAAAATTACAAGGGATAAATAATTAAAGTCAAAAGTAAATAAACAGGTTTAAACAAAGTTAAAGTATGATATCACTGTGAAATTTCAAACAATTTATAGAAAATCATCACTTTTGAAGAAACCTGCGTCATATTATACACAGTATGATTGATGCCTTAATATTATAATCATTATGCAGGTGCTACTGGAATGTTGCTACATAGTATATAATGCAAAGTTCACAATTGGAAAGCTGAAATCATCCCTTTTGTCGTAAAGTTTTGTTCTCAACCGACTCCAATTGTCAATTTCAAGATGCAAGTCAAGGTTTCAAATTTATAATTTCGATTGGATAGATGCATTCAACATCCAAACTTTAAATCATTTATTGAGAGGACATCATTTATATAGCGGAACATTAAGTTAAAGGATAAGGCCAACTTTTTTTATCCTTTCTGAAAAGCTCCTGTATGAAGTCTGTCTCACTGATATGAATAAAGGAACAGGTCGCCAAGAAAAGGAGTACAGTTGGTTCCCATAGAAATTGTTTGTTTAAAAACACGACCTCCAAACATAACAAATATATTGCTAATAAAATAAATCAAGCATCTTGGTGATGTCAGTCTCAGAGAAATTTTTGTTTCAATCAAAGTGTTTCTTTCAAGTATGATTTATCCCTTCCTAAAGCATGTAAAGCATAATATTGGTATTGTCACGATCATGTACCTTGCGCTAAATACTTATAATTAAAATAACGTACACATGAAACAAGGACCCTGTAGAGTTCTAATAAAAACATCTTGTGTAGAAAAGATAAAAAAACCACACTAGGACAGGGAGGTTGTTTGTGTTTATTTTCGTTACATGATGAGACGTAAGACTCAAAGTTAATAAAGAATTTGAATTTATATATATATATATGGCTGCAGTTGAAGAAATTCATGGTAAAAGCGGTTTTGTTACAAAACTATAACGTATAAAGATGTGTTGTGTAATTTTACACAAGTATTTGTCATTGTCATTCTTTGGAATGTGACGTAAACAAACACTTCCTAGAACAATGGCAGATAGTCTAGAGGCCGTAATCGATGTTCTCAGTTTAGACAAGTCTTAACAGCTTAAAAGAATAGTCCATAGAACCCGCATAATCCACAGAATAACTTCATAACAATTTTAATCTACGGCGATGTCTGAATATAGAAATATGTTGTCTAAAGTTGATAGCAAATTGACGTTGTTCTGATCTAACTGTAGACGACACAATATTCATAGCTTTTTCATGCGGTTCTCCACTTATAAAACTCGTATCATGATAAACGAGTGATGCTCCAATTCCTCTCAATGTCTAGAATATAACTATACAGGTTTTACGGCGAAGTAAATGCGGAATAAAGACATATTTACAGGTAGGAAACGAAAATATGACGTTTCCCGTAGAAATCAATTTATGATTGGCTGATTGGTTATTGTGGTAACCCATAGATGTAATCTAATCTATGGGTAACCATAGTGGACCTCGTGAGATGCACGAGGATAGAGCACGCGAGAATGATTATAAAACAACCTGCACAGGGTGTGTTGGGCAGTCTGGCTACAAGGATCAAGGCGGAAACGTAGCTAAAATAAAAAGAACTGCTAGGCGGAAGGCAAGAGCAGTTTTAATTATTTGTCTAAAGGGGAAACAAAGAAAGGTTTCTAAATACAGAATATTCCTGAAAAAGAAATTAATTTAATAAAACAAAAAGGGTGTCCTTTACTTGCACCTTGACTACGTGGTTAGTTGTGAACGGAGTTTCATACATAACTATTAGGGTTCAGAAGTACACAAGTTGAATTTAACGATAAATACAGCTAAAGCAAACACGTAATATTTAGAGAAATATATAATTATTTCTTGTGACAAAAGTTCCTTAAAATTAAGGGATTCATTTATTTGTCTGGATTAAGACAATGTTATAAATTATTGTCAAGTTCTTTACACTTTAACCGGCGGAGAATTTGAATAAGTGAATAGATTTAGTAGTGTAATTACAAAAACTACTATAAATTATTTATATTGATAGTGTTGATTGACACATCAGCATACTTGTAAAATTACAGCAGGCAATACGACCCTTAATTACCGTACAAATAAAGAACGTATCTGGTTAGAGATACATTAGAATTTGTACAGAGTTTACTTTCGGATAAAAGCAATAAACAAGTTATATTAGAATACTTGTACTGACCAGCCAGTTCCAGCATACAGAAGAAATGAAATCTAGGATACCTTGCTTTTTAGTATAGTATATTAAAAGTGTAACAGCCACTATGTTCCGTCAGTTACTTTGATCCGGCGGAACTTCTCAACTAGTTATTTCGTTCCGATGGAACCTTCAACTAGTTGTTTTATTCCGAGTGCAGTCGAAAAGTTCCGGAAAAAAGTAGCTAGTTGAAAAGTCCCGGAACAATGTAGCTAGTTGAATAGTTCTGGCGGAACAGAACAACTAGTTACGTCGTTCCGAATATACCATATTTCGTCCTTTTTGTAGAAAGAGGGGGAAGAATGAGTATCAGTATATATAAGAGCAAATCATTAATTTACAAGAATACCCAACGCACTGAAAGGGGTTTCTTTGGGGACAAATATGCAAAATTTAAGTTGTATTTCATAGCTCACATAAAACGGAATAAGTTGCATTATCATGCAAATTTAGTATTCATAGTAACCTCAAGAGAGGGAAGAATACCCCCCTCCTCATGTGGTTCTTTGCATCAATTCTCCAAATGGAACTTTGTGACTGGTTGATAAGTTCCGTTGGAACTTTTGGGCTAGTTTGTTAGTTCCGGTTTTGACTTATTTGCCAAAGAGGAACTTTGTGGCTAGTTGATAAGTTCCTTCTGACTTTTGTAATCAGTATCTTGGTTTCCCTTTGAAAGGATCAAATATAATATGTTGCGCTTTTACTTTGCATCAATTCTCCAAATGGAACTTTCTGCCTGGTTGATAAGTTCCGTTGGAACTTTTGGGCTAGTTTGTTAGTTCCGGTTTGACTAATTTGGCAAAAAGGAACTTTCTAACTAGTCACTTTGTTCCGGTGGAACTTTTAAACCAGAGGAAGAACAAAGTAACTAGTTAATAAGTTCCTCCGGAACTTTTCGGCTAGTTAGCTCTTTCCGCCCGGAATTTTCCAACGTCGGAACAAAAGAGCATTTACAATTGCAGATGTATCATTGTTACAGATGATAATAGAGAATATTACCGTGTCATAACAACCGTCAGTTAAAAAAAAAGAAGACTGTCCGTTTAAAGATTTATACAGTATCCTCACGAGAAGACTAACCGTTTTATTTCCATATCTGTATAAGGTTCTCAATATATTTCCGCAGAAAAATAAATTGTGCAAGAGGACCAGGCAGCTACCCAAAAATATATTGACTATAATAAGACATTTTTTGTGTAACAAATTATAATTATTTCTTATACATGGTTAATAAATTATATATTGTATATCCAACTTTCTCATTTATATTCACCAAAAGCCAGAGACTCAACGATCCCTTATAAGTAACACAGTGCTGTGGCTATAATAATAGTGATTCTTACATTTAGTATTCTTGTCTTGATAGTGTAGTTTTTTCTTGTGTATTGGTGTTACTTTGACAGGTAAAACGACAAACAGTCAAAGTCCCACTTTTATACGAATTGTTTTATTACAGTTAGAGGTACACAAGAACTAAACATAGCCCTACGGCGTTAGTCATTCATTTTATTGGAACAAAAAAGGATTTTTTTTTTCAATCTGTCATTAACTTTAGAATGGTGAATACTAGTATACAGGAAAGAGAAGTCAAATGTTTTATACTGTTACAAGAGGAAAGAGACTTAGATTGTATGTACTAAAATAGATGTCTTTTCAAGTATCCACATCGGATTCACATCTCCCCTAGAATGGAAAGTTTCACAGTAAATCTGAAGCCCGGCTTTGATTGCTGATAAAATTGGTGTTAATACTTTGGAAATAGATATAACGTTGTATGTATGGACACTTATGTAATTTTGGTATCCAGTACAGTGAAGGAAGTGCACAAGTGATGAAAAAGGGGGGTGCTCATTTCCCAAATCCCGCTTTTTTTACATGTTTTCCCCACTTTTAACTTTTTTACTTCCTTTATCCATATCCCATTTTTGTACCCCTATTTCCCAGATCCCCACCTTTTTTACCCCTATATCCCACACCCGTACTGTGTTACGCCAAATGTCCCTCAAAAGCAAAGCGTGGCATACCCCTCAGGTGATCGCAAATGTATAATCATTTACTAATGATAATGCAATTTTGCTCTTTCATTCTGCTGATTACATCAACTCGACAGCGTATATATATATATAAATGTGTTATTGTTATTGTATATATCTTGATGCTCAGTATATATATAAATTATAATGTATAAATGCAGAGATGATGAAATTATGTGATTATAAAGAACGTAACCTACTTGGGAGCTTTACTTGTTATTTTTTTCCATGCGACGTAAAGCACGGCCGACGAAATCAGTAACGTTCCACTTGCTTTGGCTAAAAACAATACTTCATCGCTCTCCATGTTTCTGTCTCACACTATTGATCATCAATTTGTGTACACAACTTTTGCACACAGGCAGAGTCTATAACAGTGTGTATTTAAATGCATAGTAAACTTGTTTATATTTAGACGATGGATAATTCATATCCAACTAATTTAAACAGTCTCATGATATCACATTGGATCGTAAACAAACTGGTGTTGCGTTCGAGTGGGTAAATACCGTAATAACCTGAGTTATTTCCCTTACTCCATAAATATATAGATTTTTATGTACTTAAGAAAAGTCAGAAGAAGAAAAAAAACAACAAATAAACAAACTAAGACTTTGTTTTAAATTCTTTTTCGTTTTTGTAAAGGTTACATATTTGTATTGTTAATTAAATTGTTTATTTGTGTCATTTAGCAGCAATCCGATTGTTAGGATTTGATACTTATAAATATCTCATATAAACTCATCATAGTTAACAGGATTAAATTTCTGTACACCATACGCGCGTCTGGCGGGGTAGGTTTCGTTTACAAAAAGACTCGTCAGTGATGCTTGAATCAAAAAAGATAAAAAAAAAAAAAAAAAAAGGCCAAATAAAATACGAAGTTCCAGAGCAAATCTTGTGTCTTATATCTTAATTGTTGCCTCTTTTTGTACAATTATTTGTGCACTAACAATGTATCTTTAATGATTTGGTGTGCTATGATAATCATTGTGAAATAGTTATATTTTGAGTATATACCCCTTGAGGGTCCATAATTGGTTAATAAAATCTTCAATCTTCAATCTTCAATCTTGTACTAAAACTGCGCGCAGTAACAAATCGAAAAAAAAACCATACACACAAATCGAGACAATGGAACAGCAAACTGAAACAACGTTTCGCACAAACCACTAACCTAGCTTTTTGCTTGTTGATACTAGAGAAATACACATTATTACGTGGTAGCCACTATGAGGGTCTGGATGGGGTTTACAGAATAGAGACTAATGGGCAAAACGTGCAGATCGAATAAAGGGCATAAATAAAGAATAGAGAAAAATCGTCTCATAACAAATACTGTAACAAGTAACAATTAATCTTTCAACTACCATCCCCCCCCCCCACCCGGGCCGAAAAAACCCTAAAAAAACAAAACAAATAAAAACAAAAAAAGTCAACTTCTTTATTTTATTACAGTCATAACATCTCAATGGAGGAAAATCGTATCCTTAATTGTATTTTCCACCAACGTGTTCATTCCGGCGGCCGTATATTATATAATAGTTTTTAGCCATCTTCGTAATTGACCCTGTAATTAGATATCCATTTGTAGTAGTTGTTTGCCTTAGCAGGGAGCTAGAAGAAAGAGCTTTATCTGTGCGTAATGTGTATAATCTTAAGTTTTTCAAATCTTTTAATTACATTCATTTTTTTGTTAATCTAAAAAGTTTTAACTTGAATAACTATTTTCATAAAAAAAACTGGCAATAGGCTACTAACAGTCCATTTTTCGGTTTAGGACTAGCATTTATGGTATAATTGCCTTTATACGTTTTTATGTATAATTGCGTGTTCATCCTCTTCAAATATGGTGTTTTCTCTTTTGGTTGTAGAAATGAGCACATCTAAAAAATTGAAGGACATTTTTGATGACTGATTTTCAGAAATTGTTATAATTTCGATTATCCATTTAAAATGTTTGAAATGATTGATGGATTCCTTAACATCCAGTGACAACTATTTCAAATATTAAGTTCGAGAACAAAGTACACCCTATGAAGCTTTGTTTGGTAAATGTGCAACTATTGGATTAACATCATATGGTGACCTATAGGTCTTAACTTATATATCATTCTGCCTCTGGCGGACAGTTATCTCATTGGCAAGCATACCACATCTTCGTATTTTTATATTGAGTGTTAGTGGAACGATCTGTAAACACAAACGTCATTACCACAAAATTGGAAGTTAATTTGAAAAATAGCTTTATTTTAGTCCGGCTTTATAAATATTTTTAATTACACCAAATTACATGTTTTTAACCTTATTATTTATTTAAACTGTTTTTCAGGATGTCTTAAAGTGCTATGTATGTGAAAAGGATACATCGGGAGCTCATATGTGAAGTAAATGTGACAAACGCATTCATGTTACATGTGGAACTACTGTTAGTGAAGAGGGGTACGGTTTGAATGTGTTATGTCCAAATTGTACGATTGATACCAAAAGAGTTCGCCACCGTTCTGGAGCGATGGACAGTCAACTGAAGCAGGCAAACACTATGATAGTCAGGAGCAAAAAAGAACTCCAAAGAAAGTTTCAAGCGTACACGTATTTTACTAATGTGCTTAATAAGTGTTCATTTTGCAGGGATTTTTTTAAGTTGCTTAAGTTGATATTTTCAATTTTCAACCCGGGGTGCATTAATAAATGTAAACATTCATATCAAAATTTATTTTCATAGAATTTTTAGAATATCTAAACACATGCAAAATTAGTAATTTTGTGTCAAAATTGCCCCTAGCAGCAATATTCAACACCGAATAGCAATATGATGTTATGATTGTATGTAACATGATTTAAAATATTGTTGGTATCTTATTTGGCGTCTTTCTCTAAACCCATAATGTTTTGAAACTTTAAAACTGACTTTGATAATATGAGTTAAATAGATACGGGGGAAAACTGACGCTACCTCATTACTCTACGGACGAGCGTGTTTAAAACATATCACAATGAATGTCTTCGTTTATAACCTTCGATGTCTTTTTTTTTTTTTTAATTTCCTTTTACTTTTTGAGTATTATCAGTTTCTTCTTGTTCTTAAAATTTAGCAATGTTATTTTTGTTGTAAGACTTTCTCAATCTTGGGTAGTGAAATTGTTACGATTTGTTTCTATCTATTATACGTTTTAGTTTGTTTTTGTTATTTGGTCATTTCTCTCCCACAATTTGTCTTCTTTTTTAAATTTACGTTCATATTCAAATTCTTGTTAATTTGATTATTTGAAAGATGCTGATAGACGACGTATGAGCCTGATATTTTTCCCCTTAATCTCATTTTATCTACACCCTTATTCATAAGAGGTTAGCTGTATTCATTATTTTCTTAAAAAGTGGCTAATATTATATTTCATATCTTATTTGGTTAAAATCGAACAAATAATCATCATTTATGTATTAGTTCACGATCCTTACATCAATTGCGAATTGTTTAAATTGTAAAAAAAAGCAATATCCTTTTTGATAAATTCGAAAATCCTCTTCCCTAACGAAAATCTTTATAACTTGCGCATCAAGTTTGAAAAAGAAATGCTTGCATGTACTTATGCTGCCATCGGCAATTTTCAATACTAAAGGTAAATCTTTTTATTGTAGATAGCTGCAAATGATCGATTCTAAATTTTTACAACTATTATTAGCATGTATGATGCAAAAATTAATTTGTGAACTTTTCATGTAAATAAAAAAAGCATATTTTATGAGGTTGTTTTGTGGTAACATCTTTTTCCTTCAAAAGTTTTATTGTATAAAGGAATCTCAATAAATTGACCTATTTTGTGATTAAGTAAGAAAACAAGTACGCTGATTCCGTTTGTTTTCGTTAATTTGCTTTTGGAAAGCACATTATAACAATGAGCTATCTTCTCATATATATTTTATTTAAAACTATTATTTAGTTTTCTTTTTATTTACATAAAGGGGCCTCAGTGGCCGAGTGGTCTAAGTAGTCGAACTACTGTATCACTAGCATGTCAACACTGAGGTTGTGAGTTCGAATCCCGCACGCGGCAGTTGCACTCGACTCCAATCTTAATTGACTAGGATTGTCAGTTTTCCTACTGAAGGTCGGTGGTTCTCTCCGGGCACTCCGGCTTCTTCCATCAATAAAAACTGACCGCCACGAAATGGCACAATAGTATTGAAAGTGGCGTTAAACACCAACTAATCAATCAATCAATATTTACATAAAAGTGCCATGTCTTTGCAGCATCCTTACAAAATCTGATATTTTTAAAAACTCAAGCTTTAAAATAGGTCGGCGGTCGATACTTTTTATTATGTTTTGATTATAGCATTTTGACAAAATGTGGAAACTCTATGCCTTTTTATATAGACCTAAACCTTAACCACTTTTTGATTAACAGCTGGCCAAAATCCAATTTTTAAAAAGTATACTCATATACTTGTGACAAGATATATTTATTTCAGAAACTGCTTTCGTAAATATACAATGATCAATGTTTTCTAAAAGAAAGTGCTATGAACCAGAAAGGCATTTAATTAGCTTCTCATACTATAAATTCTTTTTGTTTCAGCGTTTCCAATTTCAACATATAACTGGATATCGGTTTACACTACATTTTCTTTGACATTTTTAGACCCTTTCCAAACGGTTTATTTTCGGGTTTAACAAGTATAAAACAAAATTCCACCGAACACATTTGTTGATTGATTTTTTAGATGTTAAACGCAACATAAAGCACAATTTGCTACCTTGCGGCGGTCAGTTTTATTGATGGAGGTAGCCGGAGAGAAACATTTATCCACACAGCATACATAGAAAGGGGGCTTAAACTAGGTTGAAATGTATTTGGGAGTGTATGTTGATTAATACATTGGAGTCTGATATATGTTTGATCCATATTAAACAAGAACTTTATTATTTCTTTAATATAGATCAGACAATGTTTTGAAATTAATTTCATACCAAATATATACATGAAGATTCGTGTACAGTTTAGCGTTATCATGACGTGAACGTCAAATTACAGTTATGAGGACATGTCATTAGACATCTTAGATCGTTACGTATTTTCTACCTGCAGTTCAAAAAAAATATATGTCATATCATTTTAGAGGAAATTAAATATAATTTCAATTTATATCAGTTAAAAATGCTAAAATACTGGATCAAGTAAAATTTCATTTAATAAGCAGCCTCCAAATTGTTCTATGCGTCATTTTGTCCATTGGGACATTTTATTTGAAACGGGAAAACTGACGATGTTTTGAAAGTAAGACCGCAGTTATATAGTGATGACTTCAGATAGCATCTTTAGGACGTCTGACTTTATTCTTTCACTCACAGTTAAAAACATCTATGACACCATTTTTCGTCAATGGTGTACAATACTGTTGTAAAATTTCATCACATTTAACCATCTAATTAATCCGCTATGGGATTTCAAAGACACGCACAAAACAAAATTGTAACAGCGGGACACCCTTACAAGTTA